TTTGTTTTTTCTTTTTTGTTTTTTCTTTTTTGTTTTTTTCAATTTTTCTGAGAAGAATTTTTTCGTCATTCAATCACTTTTGTAGACTAATTTAATTTTTTTGCTATGTTCATTGTTACTTTTTCTTTTTTTGTTTTTTTTTTTTTGTTAGCTTGGATTTTTTTCAATTTAGACTGTAATTTTTGTTTGTTTATTAACATTTTAGGTGTTTTTATGTTATGTATGATTTTTAGTGAAAATTATTAAAAAAATAAGAAATTTTTGTTAAATTTTTAATAAGAATAAACAATTAATTAATTTCTTTAAATTGAAAAAGCAGAATGAATTTCATTATTATAGTATGCCAGTGGTAATTTCTGTGGCTACAATTTCATTGCTATGCAAATATTGGGAAAAAATTTGAGTGAAATAAGAAAACATCAACCAAAAAAACGTTTAAGTATTTCAACAGTTTCACGAGTTGGGCTGCAGTTGGTAACAGCCTTGAAAGCTGTGCATGATATTGGATATATACATCGGTACATGGATTTGCTGTTACAGAGAAGTAAAAGCAACTTTAAATTTAAATTTACTTCCAAAAGTCAAGCTTGATTATAGATGTGCAATTTAGCGAATTACTTTGCCACTCAATTCTGTAGCTATTCATTGGAACGAGGAAAGTTTGCAGTAAGCTTAGCAGTTAAACAAGATTGATTAATATTGTTAGGAGATGAATTTAAAATTTCAGGAATTTGGTAAAATCAATAATTAATCGTTCATGCATGAAGTTAGATTAGTTAAGTCAGTTTAGTAAATAAATTTAATAAGCTAGAAGAATACTTGTCAATGTCATATGTTCGAGATCATTGCGATCTGTTAGGTAATATTTTTGAAATTAAATACGAAAATTTATGAAATTTTTAGAGATGTGAAACCTTCGAATATTTGCATTGGACTTTATCCACATAAACGAATAATTTACATTGTCGATTTTGGTATGGCTCGACAATATCGCTTTGATGATGGTATGGTACGAAAAGAACGGTATTATGCTGGTTTCCGAGGTACCATGCGGTATGTATCCGTTACGGTACACGAGAGGCGAGATCAGGTTATTTAATTTTATTAAAAGCAATTGTCTAATTGGGAAATTTAAGATAATATTAACAAGACAATTAAAAACTATACGTTTCAAAATTTCGGACTTCGAATTTCAGATCAATCTTTTTTGCGCTCTTCTTAGCTAATCTTTTCATCTCATTTTTCTGGTTGCAAAATTACTTAAATTATTTAAACAATAAGTTTAAAATCAGCTATTGTGGATGATGAAGTATCATTCTAATCAGTAGTTATCAAAATTTAAAAGTTATTTTTATATTTTTAGAAATTCCAAATTGTAAAACGTCGGATAAATTTTGTGATTGAAATTTGATTTTATACAAATAATAAATAATAAATAATGATTTTTAGGGTCCTGTCGATGATTTCTGGAGTATGTTCTATTCGCTGATCGAACTGCTTCAGGGTTCGCTACCGTGGAGTTCATTTGTGGAACCGAATGAAATTGCAAAATACAAGAAAAATGTCACTTTTGATGAATTTGGAAGGTTACATAATGTGGAAATTCTAAAAAATTTTTCACATTTCATATGAACTTTTTTTTCATGAAGAAAAACATTTTTTTAAACAATTTCACTGAGCTTAATTTTGCAAAGTATGGAAAAAATATTGAAATATTATACGAAAAAGAAAAACAAAAGTTTAACACTTTCAGGAAAATGTACTTTTTTCAACCCAACAAAAAATTCTGCTTGTTTTTTTGATTAATAACCGTTCAATATTTTCCTTAAAATCACATTTTGCACTTTTATTGACGAAAAATTTCAAAAAAAAAAGAACGCTTCGATGTTTCCAAAAGAGTTGAAGGGAGGAATTATTCTAAATTAGTTGTAAAAATTAATAAGAGAAAGGGAAGCATAAATAACTAAAATAAAATTTAATTGAAAATTAGCAAAAATAAAAGAATCTGCGCTTGAAACGTAATCTTTTTTACGTGAAACAAATCTGTCGTTTCTTCACAGAATTTCTTCCATTCATTAATAAATCATTGATACAAACATTTCATTAATAAAATTGCAGTATTTTGAAATGAAATCTTTGCCAATATAAAACAATAATTTTATTACAGTCTTAATCAGAATTAATTTTTTGAAAAAATTCTTAATTCAGATTGGTGCCAAAAGAAATGGAGACAATAATGAAACATTTATCACAGTTGCATTATCATCAAATTCCCGATTATGAACTTCTCACAGGAGAGTTCAATGTGAATTATAAATATCCATTATTTCAGTAATTTGAAATTTAAGTTGCATTCAAAACTTTCTGCACTGTTTTCACTGAACAAATACGTTCATTGAATAGTTCGATGATTGAGAATTTTGCACTTTTATTTTGAAAGAAATGTGTAACACGAGCAATTTATAGCCAATTAGTTAGCTAATAGTAACTGCAAAATTGAGCAGAGCAAAAAATTTGACAAGTTTATACGAAAACTTATAACATTTGCTCGCTTACAAAATTCAAATATTCCAAAAAAAAAAGGAAATGTGAAAAAATTAGTTTGCTCAAATTTGATTATTTCCTTTTAGTATGAAATATGTTATTTGAAATGAAATTTGAGGTAAAATTTGCATTCATTTTCAGAAAGTGTTACCAAAAAATACACCAGAAGATTTGCAATATGATTGGGAAACAGCAAAAATTGATCCAAATTAATTTATAAAAATTACAAAAAATTACAAAATGTCAAATTTTATTTCAAAATAAGCGCAATAAAACTTGGAATTATGAGCAGAATTTGCTTCAATTTCCACATTTTAATTTGTATTGACATAAAAAAAAAACGATGCAAAATGAAAGCACAATCAAAAAAAAAAAAATTGTTTGCAAATTTGTTTTACTTTTATTTTGAAAACAATTTGCGTCAGTATTTGTTGAGAAATTGAAGAGACCTTTTTTAACACAAATTAAAAATGCTAATTTTCTCGTCTTTTCATATTTTCGGAACGAGAGTGAATGTTTCTCAACAATGATAAATTAATTCTCTGTTTTGCAACAAAGAAAAAATGAAATGTTGCAAAATTTAATGCTTTTCCAAAGGACAGAAAATTTTGAATACTTCAAAAGAAAAAAGCAAAATGAATTAATTGTTGTTTTTGTTTATGATTGTATGGATAATTTTTTAATCATGGATGTCAGTAAAAACTTTACGCAATTCTCGCATAATTCATTTTTGATAGCATAAAAAGCTTACTGATAATACATTGGCTTCAATGCATTACCGCATTTACATTCGATATCATATGCTTTGTTCTTTGATAATATCATTGTAATATCACTAAAATGTTTCCTGTTATCAGTTCATTTCATCTCATAGCTCTATTAGATTCAAAAAATACGTAAAAGTTATGTATTTTGTTGAATTCAATAAACTCTGTTGTAGTAGAAGAGACATTAATTAATGTTGCAACATGAACTAATTCGAGTTTGAAAAATTTGTCAGCATAAATCAGCAAGCGATGTTAACAGTGTAGAGATGATATCAAAGCTTAGCAACATTGTGAAATTTAAGCAAATTCACTGATTAGCACTAATTGTAGCGAATTTCGATTCGCGAAACTTCAACCATACAAACAAATAATCAAATGAATTTTTTATTGTAAACGGATTTCCTAATATCATACTGACTCATTCAATTAATTCTGCATTGCTTCAAATTATTTTATGACATTCTTGTTTTAACCAAATCCACATCTTCATATTCACACATTTTTGGTACAGTATTTCCTTTGTTAGCAATTACTCAAAT